ATACTTTAAATTTCTAATATGAAATAAAATGGTCTGCTACCTTTAGATACTCTGAAAACTAAGAATCTGTTCAAAGTTAACTTATTTCTCCAGGATTAAGTTTTACATGTTAGACCAGCAATTTTATTAATAACTTTTACTTGAAGCATCAATGGAATGGAAGTTCTTAAGCTGTAGTTCTTTGAATTTTCTAGGCTCTGAACCACACAAAATAGAAGTGATACTAAAATGTCCCTTATTTAGATTTAGAAAATTATTTTCTACCAGCTACCTAATTCTACAAAGTACACAGAAATAAAATAAGCCTATAAAACATAATATGATAAAAATCCTTGGGTGAAAATTTAAGCATTATGCAAATATAAGCTATCCTTATCACTGAGGCAAACATTCATATATTTGAACTTTTTAAATTGAGGATGGCATAATCATTAAGAACAAAGACCCCCTAGCCAGACTGTCTAGGTTTGAATTTGCTTTTGTTATTAGTTATGTATGGAACAAAGTTTGTTATTAGTTATGGAAAGTTATAACTTTCCATAACTTTCCATAACTAAGTTTCCTCATTTATTAATTAGGGCTAATAGTATTATCCACTTCATACCGTTGTGAACTTTAAAGGGTTTGCTGATTTTGAAGTGCTTAGAACTGTGCTTGACACAAAGTGTATACACAATAAATATTACCCTTAAACAGTATTGCTTTATTATTATTGTTATTGTTAGTAAACTGGAGTGGTCCGTGGGCTTATAAATTGAGGGCTTAAAAAGTTGAAGGCCATAGAATCTAAATACAGTCAGCAGAAGGAAGTTTTATACCTGATGTTATTAACTGGATGATCTTGATTGATTCTACCTGCACTTCTTCACTTCTGAATCCCTGTTTCCCTAAGCAGGAGGCTTGAAATAATACTCTGCTCTCTCCCGCTTCACAGGACAGTTGAGAAGCATAGAGCTTTCAGTAAAACAGGATGAACTTTTTGGGACAGGTGCTTTACAAAAAAGATTTATCATCATTAAATTATAACTGCATTAAAATTTCATCATGCTCATGCATGAAAATAAGCCTTAGAGGGAAATTCATGGCGTGTTTTCTTTTCTTTTTCTTTTTTTTGCTCTGTCGCCCAGGCTGCAGTGCAGTGGTGCAATCATAGTTCGCTTTAACCTCAAACTCCTGGGCTTGAGGGATTCTCCTGCCTCAGCCTCCCAAGTAGCTGGAACTACAGGTGTGCCCTGCCATGCCCAGCTACTTTTTGAAAAATTTTTTTGTAGAGATGGAGGTCTCACTATGTTGCCCAGGCTTGGCTCAAACTCGTAGCCTCAAGTAATCCTCCCACCTCAGCTTCAAAAAGCACTGGGCACCTCCAGCTAATTCTTTAGTAATGAGTCCAAACTGGGTGGGGTCAAGACCATTTTCCCCAAATTCTACTCGGCAGTCATTATTATTTCCTCATTAAGCCATTAATATGGGATCCACAGAAAAGCAGTATTATTTTCCATATAGTTACTTAGAACATAGCAGGGGTCATATTTTACTAATTTTGAAAGGGGATTTGAAGAGCTAAAACTTTAAGCATGAATACATTTGCAGTGACAAGTGTCCTTTCCCTCAGCGCCAGGCTCCTGTGTCAGGTCCTCTCAGGGCCATCTCACTTTCACTCCCAGGTACTCTGTCGTGATTATTCAAGAACTCTCTCACATTTTCATGTCATGAACCAACTATTACTGACTTTAATATTATGACGCTGTATGAGAGAATCAAAGAAAAAATGTTTTCTATCAAACTACCATTTCACCTGCATACATTCTCTTCCCAACCATAAGAAAACTATACGATTCCATATAGTCCTCCACAGTTTCTGTTGAGAAATAAAATTATCTAGACGGATTATGATCTTGGAACATAAGTAGTAGAAAACTGCTGTCTGCAGTCATGCCCCTTTATGATGTACCTTTGTTTTCAAGTCACGACATCTCTTAAGTAGCCTAGAGAGGCTTCCAGCTTCTTCGTTTCTCTGAAATCAACTGTTTTAAGTGATTTCAAAAGACCAAATCATAATCTCAAACACTTTTGGGGGTATGAAGTCTCACTAGCACTCTGGAATTTTTATTTCTTCAACAAGGTGACTATTTCATGAAACTACAGTCGCCTATCCTTAGGCTGACCAGGGATTGCGTAAGTTAGGACTGCTGGGCAG